AGGACAGTGGCACGGTACCCCTAGCGGTACCCCAAACGGTAGGGTATACCGCCTACACGGTACCCCCATACCGTGTCACGGTACCTAGGTACCGGACGGTAGGCGTAGACGGTTGGCCCAACCCGTCCTAACCAGGTACCGCCAGAGCCGAATGGATTTTTGGTGTTACACGGACCGAGGTACCGCCACTCACGGTACCCCCTACCGTACGCACGGTACCATGCTACCGTGTGAACGGTACTGGCCTACCGTGACCGTTGGGTTACTGTTCTTGATTTGAGATTTTGAATTAAATCAACCCTAATCACCTCTTTGAGCTTGTGTTTCTAGTTATATACTCTCATATTCATAAGTTTGAATTGTATTTTTGAGAGAGTATACTTTCCTACTACACCGGCTAAGTTTTGTTCTTCATTTTTATATTCAAGCCGTTGTGTAGAACTCTTGTTTGTGTTCTTCAAACACATCTTTATATGGTCGAGAATAGCCGTTAAATTCTCATATTGTATCGGTCGAGGATAGCCGTTTAAATCCTTTGGTTCAAGGATAGCCTTTGAAATCCTTGGGGGAATGGTAGAAGATAGCCGTTAAATCTTCATTATAAACGGTTCGAGAGAGCCGTTGTGAAATCTCGGAGTGAATCCTATTGGCAAGGGTTGTTTGCCAAAACTAGTGCGGTGCTTTGACGGAGTTCAAGAGGCCGGGATTTAGTGGATTCGGAAATCCTTGAGGAGGGGCCTCGAGGTACTGAAGTAGGGGTTTCCCGAACCAGTATAAAATCGGTGTGCATTTTATTTACGCTTTTATTTCTGCGTGTTATATATTGCTTCCGCATTTGCCAACACCGTTTTTATCAAACTCTGAAAAGATTTTAAACGCCTTATTCACCCCCCCCCCCCTCTCTAAGGCGTTGGCACAACGATTAAACCGACTAACACAATATATTGTGGTGTTCTTCTTTCCCTTACTCTTTACATATTTCCTGCAACTTTTATTTTGTTTATTCACACACGGAAAAAACGTTCATTCTAAAAAGAAACTCTATTCACCCCCTCTCTAAGGCGTGGGCACAACGATTAAACCGACTAACACAATATATTGTGGTGTTCTTCTTTCCCTTACTCTTTACATATTTCCTGCAACTTTTATTTTGTTTATTCACACACGGAAAAAACGTTCATTCTAAAAAGAAACTCTATTCACCCCCTCTAGAGTTGCACATTTTGTCTAACAATTGGTATCGAAGTGGTAACCCTAACGCTCCTTGTGACGTTTGAGAAAATGATCAAAAAACAATTGAGAATGTTGAACGCAGAGATTAGAGAAGGGCAATCCACCCTAAGGTCGCCATTTTTTAATGGAACAAATTACTTCGATTGGAATGAGCGAATGAGGACTTTTGTTCAATCAAATGACTTCAAAATGAGGATTTCTGTTCAATCAAACGACTTCAAAATATGGCTTGCTATTAAGAATGGAGATAGCTTGCCGATGAAGAAGATAGGTGATACATTCATCCCGAAGAACGAGGATGAATATGATGAAGCAAACTTAAAGAAGGCTTAATTGAATGCCACCGCCATCAACTTCTTATATTGTTCTGTCAACGCCAACAATTATCAAAACATATCTCGGTGTCAAACTGCCAACCATGATCACGTATGAAGGTACGCCTCAAGTTCGTGAAGCAAAAATTGATATACTAACTCATGAATATGAGTTATTTGCTATGAAAGAGAACGAGCTTGTGGAAGACATGTTTGAAAGATTTTCAAACAGCGTCAACGACATCGATATACTTGGAAAGACTTTCACTGACAAGGAGTTAGTGAGGAAAATCCTGCGAAGTCTTACCAAGGAATGGGAGTCGAAGGTAAACTCCATCTATGAAGGCCGAGATTACAACGTCATCACATACGACGGTCTTTGAGGTAAGCTTATCACTTACGAAACAAATCATCTCTCTCATACTCTTGAAGTAAAGAAGAGAACGGGAATTGCTTTTAAAGCATCTTCTTCTCAAAAAGTTGAGATTATTTGTAAATCGTTATACTTTTAAAAAAAAAGTTGAGACAAAAATCTCTAACAAGAGTGTATTATTATATTTTTAAAAAGAAAAATTTTAAAATTAAAATTCAAAAAGAAAAATGTAAATTTATCTAAAATAATCCCACGTTTCATTTATTTGTGAAAACAAACATTTTTCAAAAATCTTGTTAAATAACCGGTAGCTTTTTAACGGCGGCCCAAAACTCGCACAGATGTGGAAATGTGAGATTATTTAATGTGACAGTGGAAAATGAGATTATTTTTAAAAAAATGTGAAAGGTGAGATTATTTAAGATAATTTTTCCAAATAAAATATTCTTGTCACATCTCATTTTATAAAACTTTTGATATAGTTTTTTAGTATATAATTATTATTTAATATTGACCTACCAGTTGTAAATAAAAAAAATTCAAAAAAGAAAGGTTTTAACTCATATCTCCCAATTTGTAATCAAATTAGAAACAACAAGTAGTGCCGGTGATGTGCGTAGGGGTGGACACGGTACCGGTACGGTGCCGTTACCGGCAACGGTACCACCGGTACAAGCAACCGTCACTGCCGGCCGGCACGTCCCACCGGTTCCGGGCACCGATACTGGCACTGCCTCCTCGGTACCAGTTCCGGTGCCAATTTTTCAGTACCAGTTCCGGTACTGTTATGTATTTTTTTTATTTGTCCAAGCATAGCAACGGTCCACACCTGCAACTCTTGCAAGATTCCTGCAAAAAAGTGAAAAAAAGTTAGTGGGGGTGGAGGGGACCTCAACGGCTAAAGAGCCGTTTGAGGTGGGGGGTGGGGGGAGGGGGTAGAAATTACACTATAAATATACCATCTTTTAAAAAAATCACACTCAATCCATCTCTCAATCTCTCAATAATTCTATTATCTCTTTTCAATTTTTATACAATTTATATTCATAGAATAATATAAATATATATTAATATATTACATAATAATATATTAATACATTCATTATTCATATTATCAATTATCATATATTATTATTTACTAATATTATAATTTCCAAATTTTAGAAATTTAATACTCCGTATATAATTAATTTTTAAAATATTTAATATAGTTCAAAATAGTCAAAAAAATATATTAATATATAATATAATTTTTTAAAAAATATAATTTTATATTATCAATTATCAATATAATTTTTTAAAAAATATGAATATATAATAATACATAAATACATTCATTATTCATATTAATAATTATCATATATTATTATTTACTAATATTACAATTTCAAAATTTTCAAAATTTAATATATAATTAATATTATAAATATTTTAATATAGTCTTTTTTATCAAAAAAATATATTAAAATGTCGAGAGACTCCGGTAGAAGGTCCGTGGATATGGGCACCGTGAACCAAAGTTCGAGGAGAGGCAAAGCTAAAGCCACCTCCGACGGTTCGACCTCACGCGGACGCGGTTCTCAAGGAAAACACTCCGTCTCTTCCTTCCCTAGTATCCCCAATCAATTCGTGGGTGACGCTTTGACGGATCAAAAATTCGACCATTATATGTCAGGTAGAGGCGACGCCAATCTCGAAACTCTTGAAAGTTTATTCGAGGACATTGATGAAGCAGAAATGGACATGGAGCCTACATCGCACAGCAACAATCCTACCGACGTCGACGAGGAGGTAGGTGAGCCCAAGACCTCTCAAGGTCCAGATAAAGGTAAAAAAAATTAAAATCAGATTTATTTGTTTATCATTTTTCAAAAGAAATAAAAGATGACATAGTTTTTGGAACTTGTAATTATTGTGCCACCGTCATTAAAATGGGAGTTTCCGGCGGTTATGGTGGTCCGGAAAAACACCTAAGGTCGAGGCATCTCGTGGAGTACGCCAAATACGCGGCGAAAAAGAAGGGACGACAAGAAGCGCAAACCCAAATTTTTCGGGTTGTTAACAGGGGTAAGGGCGGCCTTTTTGCTTATAGCGATGAGCAAAATAAGCAAAAAATGGCCAAAATGATTTGTGAAGAAAATTTGCTATACATGTTTTCAGAAAAATTTGGATTTATTGATTATTGTCAACAGGCATTAAACCCTCAAGCAAGAGGTTTTTCAGAAAAACAATGAAGTGAGAAATCATTCAACAGTATAAAGTTGAAAAAATCAATTTAGCAAATTTTTTTCACAATTTTAATTCTCGTGTTACTATTTGTTCTGATATTTGGGGTGAAACATATCATAATTTGTCTTATATGGGTGTTACTTGTCATTGGATAGATAGTGATTGAATAATGCATAAATGTGTTCTTGTATTTCGTGATTTCAATGATTCTCATACTGCTAAAAATAGTTTTTTATTGCTTCAACGTATTCTGCGGGAATACAACTTAGTTGATAAAGTGTTTGTATTTGGTTTTGATAATGGTATTAATAATACTGCTGCTATTCCTAGACTTAAAGAAATTTGCCCCCCTACTACGAGTATGGGTAGATTTCTGCATCAAAGGTGTACTTGTCATTTTTAAATTTATGTGTTCAACAGGGATTAGAAGCTATGAGGGATTTTGACGAATATTAAAAATAAAATTAGAAGGATTTGGGGTAGTCGCTTCATTCGAATTAGAAGGAATTTGCTGAATTTTTTAGGAATGAACTTCTTTTAATGATTTCACCTAATGAATTTTTTATTGTTGAAAAATTGAATGCCGTATTAGAAGTTTTTAATAACGCAACTCTTACTTTTTCGTATGTTTACGAACCAACTACAAATAGATTTTTTAAAGAGTGCGTTACAATCGCAACATGTTTTCGTGAAAGTTTGGCTGATCTAGATTTGTACCCTTATGTCTCTCCTATGAAAGATAAATGGTGTGCTTATTATTTGCACATTCTTGATATTTATAAAATATGTATTATTTGTGATCCACGCTTTAAGATTGAAAATTATAAAATTCTAATTGACTATTACTACAGTTGTTTTTTAGATAAAAATAATTATTACTACACCCATTTAATTGAATGCGAAAAAGAAAGAGATAATGCTATTACTCTTTTTGAGGCTTTATTTAAGGAATTTCAAGGGATATACGGTAATGTACCGGAAGAGACAGCACCTCCTCCGCCCCCCCAAATCAAAAAAAGGTTTTAAAGGAATAGTTGGTTGGCTTCTTGCAAAGAAAGGGAAGCGTGCTCAGCCTTCGACGAGTTCAGGTGGTACAACTGTAAGCTCGCACAACGAACTTGCTATGTACCAAGGGGTGCCATGTGATTACGAGGACGACGACGACGTGGAGTTTGACGTCCTCGGATGGTGGAAGCGGAACGAGCACATGTTCCCATGTCTCGGAATGCTAGCAAGACAAGTTTTATCCGTCCCGGTATCAACCGTAGCAGTGGAACAAGAATTCAGTGCTGGCGGCAATATTCTAACCGACTCCCGAAGTTGTCTTAGCGCTGAATCTCTTGAAACACTTGTTTGCAACCGAGATTGGCTCTTGGCAAGACGTCGAGCTCAAGAGTCAGAATACGATTTCAATTTCGATCATTACATGAATGCAACCCCAGATGGAAGGCCGAGTTCTGAGGAATAAGTTATAAACTTTTTTTTTATGTTAATGTAGATATGTAATTAATTTTTTTAGGTGAGCGATATATAAGCTCCTTCGAGGGTTTCTTTACGGTTCTTTACCTCGTGTCTTTTTTTGAACCGTCAGAATATTAAATGTAGTTGTTATTCAGTTCGTGTATTACTCATTTTACAATATTTAAATAACAACTATATTTTTAATTTTTTTATTTCATTCTTTCCTTCAACAATTGCACATTTACAATTTTACATTTTAAAAATTTAAAAAAAAAAAAAAATTAGGAGTAACCGAAACCACCAGTTCGGATACCGAAACCGATACCGTCTGGTCCGGTCACGGTACCGGTACCAAGGGGTGGCGGTACCGGAATCGTACCGTGTCCACCCCTAGATATGTCTTTTCCTTTCTTCCAACTAACCAAACAAATCCTAAAGCACCCACGACCCCCTCGGCCCCTCCCAGAAAGCCTCCTTTCGTTATCCGTGAATCTCGCAAGCATTAATGACCTCACGCGGAGTCAAACCCACTCACTCACCCACCAATCTTCGGTCTTCTCAAGTCCATCGCCTTACAGTTCACAGAGCGAGCGAGCGAGCCAGACAAAAAAAAAGATTGGGGAGAGAGTCTTTTGCTAGCTGTAAGAAACAATTTCTTTCTTGGGCCCACATGCGCGGGCTAAGCCGGTTTGGCAGCGGGGTCAACACACCGTTGCCGCCGTCCTCGCCGCGCCCCCGGAGAAAGAACTCCCCCGTTGGATTTGGCGCGGGGAGCTTCCGCGGTGGCGTAAATGGAGAATTGAAGCTGCATAATTTTGCTGAGAAGTTGGGATTTGTTCTGGTTTCCGCCGTGCACAGGCGGCGAGGGGTGTTACTTTTCGCTCCTTTGTTATATATTTCTGGAATGTTGTTCTATATGGGCACTTTTGGCCTCAATGGTGGCAGGGGTCGTCCGGCGGTGGCTCCGCAGGGATCACTGTATCGGAGCCCTCAGTTATTTGAGAAGCTCTGGCCCCATATGCAGGATGAAAATAATGGGATCTCAAAATTGGTAAATTTCTTAACTTTCCATCTTTCTTTTGAAATTGTTGACTGCGCGGTATCAGGTCTTTACTTGGTCATAGTTTTTTCAGATTGCGTTAGAAATAAAGTTTGTAGCTTGAATATGGATAAGTTAACTAACCAGTATTTTTATTTGCTCCGGAATAAAAGTGACTTTCTCATACGAATTTTTTCTCATTTTTCAGAAGTTTCTTTCCCACTTCTTAAATCTATGAGGCAGGTTGTTAATTTGTTATGGGCAATTTTTTTAAGGAGAAAAGGTATTTTGGAACAGAGTAGGGTATTTCCCACTTCTTGTTGTCTATTTTTTAAGTGGAAATTTATTTTAAAGTAGGGTAATTCCCACTTCTAGTAGTCTATGTTTAAAGTGGAAAGTTATTTTAAAGTATGGTATTTCCCACTTCTAGTATTTTCTTATTTTATTTGTTTGGAATTAGTTATATTGAAGAACTCGTATCATGGTGCATGCTTTTTGCCAATTAAATCATCTTTATGGGCGCATCATCGTATCATGGTGGATGTTTGGATTCGTGAAGACAGGCTTCAGAGTTGTAAGGCTCGTGTGTTAGTTGCACACATGGAGTGCAAGTTTAGCAACGGAAGGAGAAATAGTAACATCGAGGTGAAAGTTGGAGAAAATACTATACCAAAACTCCAAAAGTAAAGAGATACCTTGGGTGAATCATTCAAGACAATGGAGAAATAGAGGATGATGTTAACCACATGATTTAAGTCGGTTGGTCAAAATAGCAGAGTGCTTCGAGCTTTATATGTGACAAAAAGTACCTTTAAAACTAAAGGGAAAATTTTACCGTACTGCAATTAGACTAGCTATGTTGTATGGTAGAGAGTGTTGGGCAACAAAGGGTGGAACTGAACACAAGATTAGTGTGGCCAAAATGAAGATGCTTTGATGGATGAGCGGCCATACGCGTATGGATAGAATAAAGAATGAAGATATGAGAGCTAAAATTGGAGTGACACCTACTGTAGAAAAGATGATGGAAACTCGTCTTAGGTGTTTTGGACATGCGGAGAGAAAACCAATAAAGCATCCGGTGAGAAAGGTTGATCAAATAGTGAATAGACATGTGATTATAGGAAGAGGTAGACCTAAGAAGGCTTGGAACGGAGTGGTCAAGAGGGACCTTTGCAGGAATGGTCTCACTGCAAATATGGAACATGATAGGGTGCAACGATGTCGTTTGATCTATGTAGCCGACCTCACCTTGTAGGATAAAGCTTTGTTGTTGTTGTTGGAATTAGTTATTCACTTTCTATATTCAATGAAGAAATAGTTGTTGAGTATTGTTAACATTAATGGGTGACAAACAAGTGTGAAGGACTTTTTTGACATTTTAAACTTATTTCATAAAAATGAGTATTTCTGAAGCTCATAGGAGAATAGGAAAGCACCCACTTGAATGTGCTTAATGCTCCATATTTGTATTCTAACATAGTGTTTGACTAAGTAAGCATAATAAAATAATTCAAATGTTAGAGATTTTAAGTGCCAAGTATGAGGGATTTTGTTCTTTTGTTTTTTTGGAAAATTTTTTGTAAATTTATTTTAAAATTTTGAATTTCTTTTTACATATAATGTTTAATGAAAAGTAAGGATGGACAATAATATATGGTCTGTTCTGATATTAATCAGTTACAGTTCATGGCTTGATATTATGATATGTACAGTTGACAAATGTGTGGAATCCAACGTTTCATCAAAATTGGAAGCCTTGTCTTCACAAGACTATTTCACACGCTGGTTAGTATTCTGTCTATGACCATTACATTTGAATCACCTTTCAATTTTTTTTCTTTAGCAACTTGTGAGGCATATACCAAAGGTCACTCTCTCTGTCCCATACAAAAGTCATATTCCAAAGTTTTTCCCACCTAAAAAGAGCCCAGTTTGAATTGAACAAAGCTAGTTTTCATCATATTTAATAATTTTATTTTATAGTATAAAAAGTGTCCCAAAACAGTTGAATGTGTTGAATTTAGTGAAATCAACAATTTTAAAAAGCTACATTAGACGATTTCTGAAAGTTGTACTTTACGAAGCTAAAAAGGAACCTTTGTTTAACATGATGCCTTTTATGGGACAGAATGAGTACTTCTTTTCCTAAATCATCAATTTCTTATTTGCATCTGCCGAGCTATGTGTTTAGTGGTTTTGGACATAACCATAGCAGATGATATGTAAAAAGTTGACACACATGGAAAATTCAGTTACTCTGTTTATAGTTTTGGGTAAAAGGACAAGGATTGTAATTGCTGGAATTCTTGCTAAATAGGAGTATCAAACCTTTGCTGCTGCAAGTTTACACTACAAATAGCCAAAAACTGGATGACCATAGCAGAGATGAATGTGGCTGAAAATAAAGAAAATGGCTTACGGAGTATTTGAAATGAACACATTATAAGTGTAACGGAAATAAGAACTTAAAAATGACAGCAGAGACTAGAGAGTATACATTACTTCTTGTATCACATTTCAGTATTTACTGGATTCTCATCGTATTTTCATCAAGAGATTTCTTAGCCCACATCATATGTGTCATATTTGTAGAAGTGTATCATTATTTGATTAAGTAATTTGACTTATATTTTGAACTTTTTCCTTCAAGGGTCGCCGGAAGTACACAAGTCAAATGGTTTTCTTATAATTGAAGCAAATGGTGGGTTAAACCAACAAAGGTTATCGGTACGTTCTTTAGAAACAAATGTACTATATTGTCCTTTTTAAGTCCTCACCGAGGAGCATGGAGTTCATTTTTCTGTTACAAATTTATTTTCTTTTGTGTTCATTGTCTTCTTGTTTATTGTTGTATCTTGATTGTCATCAAATTATTTAGTATTCAGTCTGTGGCCACAATAGGCAGAGTGCATCCAAAAGTGTAGGAAAAACTTCATTTCTTGTTACTGTCCAGACTCAGTACAATATAGATCGTTGATGAATGCAATTTCTTTATTGTGTGCTCCATTGTGCTATTTATAGTTTGCATATATAGTTAAACCATAATAGTTTTATATTGATTGCATTTGCAGTTGACTATTACTCCCTCCACCTCAATGTATTTGTTCGGTATTCCCTTTTAAGCTATCCCGGTGTATTTATCCACTTTTCTTTTAGAGTAAATTTAGGTTGGCCGTATATACTCTTTTTCCCCAAAAAATAATACTTTAATTCTCTGGTTAAAAAGTATGGGCACAATTGTAACTTTATTTTCTTTTCCTTGGTCTATGTGCCAAAAAATGTGGACAAATACATCGGGACAGAGAGAGTATTATTTTTTGTTGTTGAGAAGGTTATGGTTTTTCTTAGATAGAATTCTTCCCTGATTTTCTGAAGGATATATAGTACAGAACTGAACCTCTTTTTATCTTATTACAGATATGTGATGCAGTTGCAGTTGCTGGTATGCTGAATGCTACACTTGTTATCCCAATATTTCATTTAAATAGTGTTTGGCGAGATTCGAGGTAAGCTTGTAAGTTGTAATGTAATAAACCTAAGCAGCCAAGTGACAGTACAATTTCGTGTAATTTTCCCGATACTCCTTTAGATTATGAAATTCTGCAGCCAGATAATTTTTATGTTTTGGCGCTTAATACCTTCTCTTCCTCTTGTTTTTTCTTCTTTTACTGTGCATGATGCATACCATGCGCTGCTAGAAACAATGTACTTTTGAATGAATAGAAGAAATCAAGCATGTGTCAGAAGAATATTAGCTATGTAGTCATAAAACTCATATTCTCATTTCCTAAGATTGCTTTGGAATATAATTAAGGGCCTCCATTATAGAAGGGGCATCAGAAAGTTATGTTTTACATCTCTGTGGAGTTAAAAATTTGTTCTATACCAGTAAATCCATTTCCGTCCCTTGCCAATGGAGCTATAAGAGCCATTATCGAAAATTTTTATGTTTCGGGCACATGATGGACTAAATAAAACATTGAACATTAAACCTCTCTTGCTTTTTATTTTCTATGAAGCTTTAGGCATTAAGTGGAGCAATGCATCTAGGGTCTAACAGAAACAGCCTCTCTGTCTTTATAGGTGTAACTGTGTAAGACTGTAAATCCTG